TATCCTAATGTTATCATGCATGGGTTAAGACCTAGTGTCTATCATGCTCCTCTCTTGCACAGAGAGAAACAGAGATCCTACGGGATAGGCAGAAACAGAAACAATACCAGATATATACAGTAAAGCAGTAAAATGCATGGATGCAACAGCACAAGCGAGGCAAGGGAGTCCCACTCAACCTCGAACCTAGAAAACAATAGGCAAAAGTGAACAGGCTTCACTTTCAACCTAGCAGGGTAAACAGCAAACAATACAGTTCAGAAAACCAATCAATACATCAGCAAATGAAATACAACAGCAAAAAGAAACAGCATCAGCAGCTCTGGATCAACAACTGGCTTCAAGCAATCTCCAATCATTCACAGGCTTCAACAAGCATCAATCTCCATCTTCATGGCCTTCAGACAAGGGCTTTGATCATCAGTCTTCCATCTGCAATGGCTTTTCTTCATGCTCAAACCTCCAGGATGAGGGATTAGTCACAAGAATGAATTGGGTGTTAAGCAATCAGTTGACTACCAAAGGTGGTGAACAGACTGCTTCTAACACAAGAGACATTTTCTCTCAAGAGTTCTATCTCATAGACACTATTACCAAGCCTTCCAAAGGAAGGGGGTGAGTGTCTTAGAGAGACTCTGAATCACAGAGGAGAATGGATGCAGACAAGGCAATCCATGTTTGAGAAACAAGCTTTCTAATCTAGAGCTCTGCCTAGCTCCTAAACCCTAGTCTTCTTAGCATCTGCTAGCAAGGATCTCCTCTCCAACTCTGACAGTTGATCTTCAATCTTTGAATCTCCAATAGCTTCATCTTCACAAATCTTCAGCTTCCCCAGGGCCCCAGACAAACCCAATACCCATACAAACAATCAATAAACCCCAGAGGGCACACCACACCAGACAGTCAGATATAACAGACAGTAATAATAGCAGTAGGGGAATCCTAACTTTTCTCTAAGGGATCTAATAACTACCCATAGCCCCCTATAGTCCCATAACTAATCTATTCAAACTCTAAGTCCTGAGGGGAATGAAATCAAACTCCCAAGTTGTCACTTAAACCCTAGTTTTGTACATGATATTCAAGCATTTATTAATCACCTAAAATTAACCTCTAAAAAAGGGAACTAAAATATTTCTACAAGTTTAATATCTCATCTAAACAATATGAAAAGAATGATCAAAAAAGATTAAAGCATGTGAGAGAACAAAAATCATAAAAATGATGCATGAAATGAACTATTTAATATGACATTTATTTAGAAAATATGTAAAAAATATGAAATAAAACTAAAAATGAAATTTTATTCTCCTATAATATTCTAGACATTTTAATGAAAATATGGTAAAAAGAATGGATTAAAAATGAATTTTTATGAATTATTTATGAATTAATGAAAATTGGTAAAATAAAATGGAATTAAGAAAAATTAAAATTGAATGAAATGAATGAGGGGTGCATTTAGAAACTCGCCCCAGTTATAATCCCATTGGGCCAGGAAATAGGGGGGTGCTGGTAGCGCTTTCACACTGGGCCCAACAACAATCAGAATTAAAGAAATAATAAAACGCGCTGGGGGGTGAAGGAAGTAATAAAATCACGTTGGAAAATGGTTTTGGGCCTAACACGGGGGTGGGAATAACAAAATTCAACTCAGGCCCGCCCGTTTCAATTAATGAAACGGTGCGTTTTGGCCAAACTCCAATTCCCTCCAAACGCTCAGATTGAATGTAGGCCACACGATCTTACCCTAAGTCAAAAGTCCAAACCACAATGAACGGCCATGATTATTTCTTCTCCAAACGACCTGCAACTTAGGGTTTACTCCATGCGAGCTCATGCACGAGCTACTTTCCCCCTCTCTGTTCTCCATCTCCAAGCCACGAATCATCACGCCATAAACACGAAAGTTGCTCAGGATCTTCCCCTCTACAATCCTATACCACTAGCTCAGTCTGAAACTCACAGAATCTCTCAACCCGATCGAGGTAAAAACTGGTCATCATGAAATCATACTGTTATGAACCATCACCATTCCTCCTCAAACTTGACCTAAACTAACCTATGCCTAATGGAGATTAATTTGATCAATCACGCTACAATTATGATGCACTAATCTAAGAGATATAAGCACCAACAGTTTGTTACACCTGTCACTAACCATCACCAAATCGTTCCAAATTCATCTAACTTAATCTCCTAACCACCTAGATCAAGTCTAAGCTAATAAAATCATGTGAAACTAACTGAATTAAGCAAATCGAAGGAAAACTTACCTGATGTAAAACCTTGAGAACAGCTATGGAAATGGAAGATCTGAGGCTTTTGAGTGTTGAATCCTGATCAATCCTTGAGGAACTTGATTCTGTATGCAAGCTTTGGATGAAACTTGGCCAGAATTATGCTATCCAATGGAATTGGCAACTTTGATATTCTTGCAAAAAGCACTCGAAAATGGATGATAATCACTTGATCCTGGCTTCAATTATGATCTATGATGATGATGGAGTAAAATTGAATTGATCTTGATGAAGATTGATGAAGAATTTGAGAGATTTGGAATGAAACTTTTGAAGAAAGAATGAGAAATCTTGTGGAATTCTTGGTGCAAATGAGGCCAACCCTTGCCAAATTCATCTTTCATGAATATATAGACCCCAATGGTACATTCTAGATCCATCTTGCACATTCCCTTGTTTTCAAACTTTGGCTCATTTTGATTATGTTTCTTAAAAGGTAAGCAACCATGGATAACTTCATTTTTTCCTTCTAAACTCAAAAAAGTGTGTGAACCATTGTTCTTAGAATTGTTTTTCCATTCAAAATCATATATTGGAAGTCTCCATTTGGACTTATAAATCTCTCAAACCATTTTTTACTTTGAAATCATTCACTTTATAAGCCTTTTTAGTTCATATTTTGACCAATCATGCAACTCCATGCTATGAGCTTCTCCAATAACTTGTGACCTTCTTTCTAGACTTAAAATCCCATTTGGAGCAAGTTTGATGTTGTAAGTTTTTCCATTTGAGGCCTCCTTGTATGAGTTTTGGGTATAGGTTAAAATGACCTGTAATTCACAAATGCCCAAAATACCCTTTGCTTGTCAAGACCATAAGTTGAGTTCTCCACATCATATGAAGGCATACTATACCATTCTAGAAAGCTAAGACAATGAGGAACAATTCTTATGTTGACCAAGAATTCATTTGAAATCTCCTTGAGGGGCAAAACTAGCTTGGAAGTCAAGTCACTTTCACAGACAAAAATTCAGACACCTCAGATGACCTGTAACTTGTAAGGACCATAACTTGAGTTCTATAAATCATCTTGATGTCTTCCACCACTCAAATTAAAGGTCTTGAGATCCTCTACAAGTTTCATGTTGGCCAAGAAACCATTTGCAGTTAGCATTTTGACTTATCTTGCTTGGAAGTTTGACCTAAACTAGGGGATTTTACAGAGAAACCCTAATTTAGTAACTCCTCTTCTCCTTGATTTCTCTTGAATTCTCCTTGTCATATCTCCATATCATTCTTCATATGTCAAATGATGAACCCCACATCTCTCCAATAGCCTTGAATGCTCTTTTAAACCAGTCAATTGACCTAGGGTTGACCTAGGGTTGACCCAGATGAAACCCTAGTTGACTGTCTTCAACTATAGCTCTTATGATCACCTCAACAACTTGTTTTCTTCTCCAAATGACTTTATAAGTCTCTCAAGATGTCTAGATACTCTCCATGCTTTCACTCCACAGCTCATAACCCTCTTGTTGATCCTCAGATACCCTCAGCTAGGAGATAGACTCAAGGCTTGATCTGCTGAACTCTTTGCTTTCAAATTCTTTCCTGATGACTTGAGTAGGATGGAATTAGGATAATAACCTCTTGCTAGGCCTCTAGAGATGAAAATAATGATTGGTCCCCTGTTGAATGACTTGCTATGCTTATGCTATGCAGATGGTTAGTCTATGTACATGACTCTATATGCAAATGCTAATGATAATGAAACATAAATCCAGGGAATAAGGTTGGGCAAATTTTAGGGTGCAACATGGGTTTAGAGATACACTGACCCTCTTCTATTAATAACCTTTAGGTTGGTGATTAATATTCCAACAACTACTGATATCAATTTCGGTATATATATTTTATATTATACAATCAACTTTTACTTCTTAGGTCAAATAATAGAAAATAGATTCCATGCTTTTTCATGCAATCACGCAGTCATAATGTTCGTAATGATTCAAACTTGATTAGACAATTTATAAAAAAAGATTTAAATTTTATTTGTAATTTTAAATATGTATATTCCTTTTAATCACAACCATTTGTTTTTGATCCGATATCAATACATGACTGCGTCACTACTACAATAATCCATTTTACCTCAATTTAAATAAAAAAAAGAAGCTTTACTTTTGTTTCAAATGTGAGATAACAAGAGCGTCATGAATTTTGAATAATTTTACCACAACTTAAATAATTGAATATATCATCGTTTAAATATTTTTGCGTACTTTAGACATTTTTTTTATATGAACATCCTTATTGTCCATGTAAATAACCTAAATGAACTTGTGGTTACATAAATGAGTTGATTATTTAATACTTATTTCAACTATATCAAATTAATGTCAAAGTAGAAGCTTATAGTTCTAGTTAATACTTATACACTACAATACAACATCCAAATAAAGGTTATTTATAGTTATATATACACATTACAAGCAAGCACTATTTCATATGTGTGCGGTTTTATGTTTGTGTACGTATATCATCAATAAAGAACTGCTCTGGCCATTGTTGTATGTCACGGACTTGTGCAAAACGACATGGTTTTTACAAATAATAAATTCCTAATATTTATGTTTTGGATAGATTTTAAGCAAAAAGAATATTACTTGATGAGGAACATATCTCATGTCCCACTTTTTTCCCTCTATAAATAGCTCTAACACTCAGGGAGTATACATAAAATTTTAAGAACCACATATGGCAGGTAGTAGTAGGAATCCCCTTGCTGTTGGTCGTGTAATTGGTGATGTGATAGACCCCTTTGAAAATTCGGTTCCTCTCCGAGTCACCTATGGTAATAGAGATGTGAATAATGGTTGTGAGCTTAAACCCTCTCACGTTGGCAATCAACCCAGAGTGAGTGTTGGTGGAAACGATCTCAGGAACATTTATACCCTAGTAATTTACATTAGATAATCTCTCTCTTTTTTGATGCAGTCTTTACTTAATTGACACACATGTTATCATAATGTAGTTTATAATGTGTTGCTCGAGTTTGTTTACTTTTGTTTCTTCTATCATTTTAGGTTCTTGTGGATCCTGATTCACCTAGCCCAAGTAACCCTACTTTTAGGGAGTACCTTCATTGGTGAGTTAATCAATTACATGCCTTATATGCTAATTTAAACATGATTTGTAAGAATTCCGTTAAATATATAATAGCTAACACTTTTCTCTTAATAACCTCTAGGTTGGTGACTGATATTCCAGCAACTACTGAGGTCAGTTTCGGTAAGAAATTTACAAGAACTATTTTCAAATGGTAAAAAATAGTTGTATAAAACAATAATAATTCAGGTGACATCATATTGGTTAAATGCACCATTAGCAAATTAAGAACAGCATTATCAATAGAATGGTTGATTTGCAGGGTGAGATTTTGCATCCTAATTTCGAGTTTGATTGATTTGGTTTGCACATAGGTAACGAGATTGTGAGCTATGAAAGGCCGCGACCGACCTCAGGGATCCATCGTTTCGTGTTTATATTATTTCGTCAGCAGTGTAGGCAAAGGGTTTATGCTCCAGGATGGCGACAGAATTTCAATACAAGAGAATTTGCTGAACTTTACAATCTTGGATCACCAGTTGCTGCTGTTTTCTTCAACTGCCAGAGGGAGAGTGGCTCTGGTGGAAGAACATTTAGATAATCACATCAACTGTATGAAAGTTAATGTCAAAGTGGAAGCTTATAGTTAGTTACTAGTTATATACTGAAATACAAGATCCAAATAAATGTTATTTATACTTATATATACACATTACACACACTACATATAGATTTGTAAGAGAAACAAACAAGCAAGCAGTATTTATACATATGTGTGTGGTTTTATGTTTGTGTACGTATATCATAAATAAAGAGCTGCCCACTGCCCATTGTTATATGTCACGGACGTATACATGGTGTATGTTTTTTTATTATTTATTTTTCTTCTTTAAATTAAAATTTATAAATATAATAAAGAAATAGAAAACCCTTTCTCAATGGAAATATCTTCGTTGTTGTTCTATATAGTGGCTCCCATCTCTTACAGCACTTCAAAGTTCAAAGTTCAAATCAGAAACAGATCCAACTTTTTTTTTTCTCTCATATTAGAAACCGATCTGAATAATTTGTTACTTCTTTGTTAAACTGTGTGTTCCCCTGAATCAGAAACCACAACTAAGCGAAGAAGAGATGAGAAACCCTAATAAACATGTGGTGGTTACCTGCGAGTGATGGCGGTGGTGGATCTGGTGGAGGCAACGTCTGTGGTGGTAGAGAACTCTATTTATTGAAAATCAGATCGTGATGGCGGTGGCTGATATGGTGGGTTCTGTTTGGTTTTATAATAGGTAGTTACTGTTTTAACCTCTGCTTGATGAACGATAGTTAAATTTCTCGGTTCTCTTCATGCTCATTTTCAAATGGAAAATGAAATATAAATCACTTAAACCTGTATTTTTTTTTTACTATTGAGTTCATTTACACTTTTTCTGAATTTTTTTTTTAGTGCAAGAACTTTCATTTCTTTTAATAAAAAACACAAAAAACTATCATATTAGTTTTGGCTAGTTCGTTCAAATTTATTAATTTGGAGATTAGATTTGATAAGTCCATTTTATGCAAATTTGTATTTTTTTTTGTCTATATATTTTTATTTATGAAACATTTTAATTTGGAGTATAAGGAAGCAAAGGATTACCCAGTGCAGTTCTAATTGTTTCCCTTCTTACATTATGAGCTTATATTTATTGCACAATGTATACATAGCTGATTGGGGTTCATCTGATGCATAGCTATTTCACAATCCTATTTTTTAGGTACTTCAAGATACATAGCTGATTGGGGTTCATCTGATTTATGATAACTTGATAAGGTTAGTTTCTTGTTCTTGTTGGTGCAAAGATAGAATAAATGATGAAATAGGAAATATTACTAATAAGAGAATGACGGCTACAAAACATGATATTAGGTTACAATGATTGTCACCCTATTTATAAGCTAAAACTAGGGTTACTAGAATAGGATAAATACTAAAATACCCTCTAACAAACTTATGGGCTAAGAAAATAGTACAACTAAATAAATATGAATTATCATTAATATTCTAATACCATCCCTTAATTCATATTCCATCAAAACTTGTAACACCAATTCCATCCCTTAATCTGAGAAATTGATCAGTCTTGATAGCTTTCGTCAGAACATCTGCCAACTGCTTCTGAGTGCTGCAGTGTACAACTTCTAATACTCCACTCTGAACTTGATGTCTCAGAAAATGATACTTGGTCTCAATATGCTTGCTTCTCCCATGCAGCACTGGGTTTCTGGCAAGGTTGATTGCAGACTTGTTGTCAATCATCAACTTCAGAGGTTTGTCTACCTTAATCTTCAGATCCTGCAACAGATTCAGAATCCACACAGCTTGGCATGCAGTAACAGCACCTGCAATGTATTCAGCTTCACAGGTTGACAACGCCACAACAGGTTGCTTCTTGGAACACCAAGAAATGGGACCTCCCAGAAATTTGAACAAGTACCCAGATGTACTTCTTCTGTCAACTCTGTCTCCACACCAATCAGAGTCTGAATAACTCAGAAGTTCTGACTCATTATTTCCTCCAGAGGGAAATAACACTCCATACTTCAGAGTTCCTTTGATATACCTCAGAATCCTGACAGCAGCTTGATAATGGGACCACTTAGGTTTACTCATGAACCTACTAACCATCCCAACAGAATAGCAAATATCAGGTCTGGTATTGCACAGATACCTCAGAGAACCAACCAACTGTTTGAAGGTTGTAGCATCCACATCCTTTCCTTCAGAGTCTGAATCCAGTTTCTGATTTGTATCAGAAGGTGTGACAGCCATCTTACAATTCTTCAGATCAAATCTCTTCAGAAGTTCTAATTCATACTTGAGCTGATGCAAAATGATACCTTTCTCAGAATATCTGAACTCCATCCCTAGAAAGTATGTCATTTTGCCTAGATCAGTCATTTCAAATTCATTCATTAGAACCTTCTTGAACTTGGCTATCTCCTGTTCAGAACTTCCAGTCAATAGTATATCATCAACATATAAACATACCAGAGTCATATTGCCTTCAGAAGTATGCTGAACATAGACACCGTACTCCATCTCACATTTCTGAAAGCCTTGCTTTTTGAAAAATGAATCAATCTTCTGATTCCAAGCTCTGGGCGCTTGTTTCAATCCATATAGAGCTTTGTATAATCTGTACACCATCCCTTCCTGATTCTTTTTCACAAATCCAGGAGGTTGTGACACGTAAACTTCTTCTTCTAATGGACCATTCAGAAATGCAGATTTTACATCTAAATGCATCAGAGGCCAATTCCTGTTAGCAGCTATTGCAATCACCATTCTGATTGTTTCATGTCTTGCTACAGGTGCAAACACTTCAGAATAATCCAGCCCAGGTTTCTGTAGAAATCCTCTTGCTACCAACCTTGCTTTATGTTTGCCAATTGAACCATCTGGCTTTAACTTCTGCTTGAAAACCCATCTGACGCTGATGGCTTTCTTGTCTTTTGGAAGTTCTGTCAGCTTCCAAGTCTTGTTTCTCTCTATAGCATCAAGTTCTTCTTTCATGGCCTTTAGCCAGAGCTTCTGCTTAAGAGCCTCCTCTGTACTTATAGGTTCAGAGTCTACTAACATGGCACACTGAATAACTTCTCCTTCAGAGTCTACTTCAGTGTCTTGCAGCATGTCAAATTCTGCAAATCTTCTGGGAACGCTTCTGATTCTTTGTGGTCTCTGAACTTGTTCAGAGTCTTGAGCTTCAGAGTTTCTAGCTTCAGATGATTGACCTCCAGAGCTTTGACCATCTTCAGAGTCTGGCATATTTCCAGAGTCTGAATTGCCACCAAGATCTGGATTGCCATCAGAGTCTGAATCATCAGAGTCTGGGTCATCTGGGTCACCTTCATCTTCTGAGTCTTCTTCAGAGTTTGAATCAGTATCAGAGTCAGAGTCAATATCAGGGTTTACTTCAACTTCAGAAATTCTTAACTCTGGCCTTTCTTCAGAGGTTCTAACATCAGAATCAGATTGAGACTTATCCCAATTCCAAACTTCTGATTCCTTCACAATCACATCTCTGCTGAATTCAATTTTATTGGTTTCTGGACAATAGAGCTTGTATGCACCTGTACTGTGGTACCCTATCAGAATCATCACTTTGCTTCTATCATCCAGCTTCTGTCTTCTGGCTTCTGGAACATGTTTATAGCAAACAGAACCAAATACCTTCAGATGACTAACACTTTGCTTGTCTCCAGTCCACTTCTGCATAGGAACTATTTCCTTCAACTTCTTCGTAGGACATCTGTTGAGTACATACGTTGCAGTGGCAACAGCTTCTCCCCAGAGCTTCTGAGGAAGCTTCTTCTCCTTTAGCATGCTTCTCACCATATCAAGCAAAGTACGGTTTCTTCTTTCAGCAAGACCATTGTGTTGAGGGGTATAAGGAACAGTGACCTCATGCTCAATTCCATTCTCCTCACAGAACTTCTGGAACTCTTTGGAGTTATACTCACCTCCACCATCAGTTCTAAGAATCTTCAACTTCTGACCACTCTGATTCTCAGCCTTCATTCTGAACTTCTGACTGCTTCTGATACCTCCTATCAGAAGTTGCTTTCAGAGCCTGCTGTTCTACTTCCTTTTCAGAGTTTCTCTCAGTCAGACGCAACTCTTGCGCTTCTAGACTGCTCTGCAGCTCTTCAATTCTCATTGTGCTCAGATCTTTGGAATGTTCTATTGCTACCACAATGTAATCAAATTGAGGAGTAAGGGATCTCAATACTTTCTCCATGATTGTTTCTTCAGAAAGAGTTTCTCCACATGCCTTCATCTCATTAGTGATCAGAATCACTCTGGAGATGTATTCAGAAACTTTCTCATTATTCTTCATGTTGAGATTCTCATATTGCTTTCTCAAGGACTGAAGCTTCACCTTCTTCACTGATGCGTCACCACCATAACATCTCACCAGAGTGTCCCATGCAGCCTTTGCTGTTGTAGAGTCTGCAATCTTCTCAAACACGTTTACATCCACACATTGATGAATGAAGAACAATGCTTTCTGATCCTTCTTCCTTACTTCCTTCTGCGCGTTTTTCTGTTCATCAGTTGCATCTGCTGCTACTGGAACATAACCATCAGTGACAAGATCCAGAACATCTTGAGCACCAAACAGTACACGCATTTGGATCATCCAACGATTCCAGTTTTTACCATCAAATACTGGAAGTTTGGTGTTCATGTTGCCGTTTCCGTTCATCTTCTACTTTGCACAATACACTCAGAGTTTTCTCACACAGTGTTTCCTAAAAATAACTTAGAATGCAGTAAATGGAACCATCAAATGTGCCGTGCATAAAGTATTAAAGGGTCCTTAAAGTACTACATCAAGATATTTCATCATCATCATCATGCAAGTGCTTTTAAAGAGTTTAAATTTGATTTTGGACATGTAAAATTGATTTTAACAAATTTGATTGCTCGAATATAATTGATTATATTTTTTATTATTGATCATATTTGAAATTAATATTTGTAATTTTTAAAACTCTTTTTTAGCATCTAGATCAGAAACTATGGTGAAAGTCTCATTTTGGTCCACTCTAGGTTAT